TGGCTAATGATTAGAATTTTATAAATCTGCTCATTATTTTGGGAGAAAAGAAAATGTGTATGATTTAGAATAAAATAAATGTGTGTCTTAGATACTGGATGGCTTAGTCGGTTAAGGGTCTGACTATTTCAGCTCAAATCATGATCTCCAGGTCCATCAGATGGAGCCCCACATCAGGCTCCATCTGATGGCATGGAATCTGCTTGGGATTCTCTCTCTCTGCCCCTCTCCTGCTCATGCTCTCTTTCTCTCCTTTCTCAAAAATAAAGAAAAATTTAAAAAAAACATTAAAAAAGGTAAATGTATACCTCTTGCTATCTCCAAGTCTTTTTCTGTGTCTTTCTAAAAGTTTGTAGTTTTTTTCTTACATATTTAGTCTGCCTTTACCTAGAAAGAGGTTTGAAAGACAACCAGAATAGTTCTTACCTGTTGATCATCCTTGGTATTTTTAACAATTTTTAAATCATATATAAGTATTTTATTACTTGGGACACATATTTTATTGTGTATTCTACTTTTAATCCACAAGAAACATTATTCTTTATTTTGCAATGGTTTTTCCATTTTAAGTATAATTGTGGCTGATACTCTATTCTATACTTATTTTTTTCCTACTGTTGGCCTGATAAATCTTTGGACTTCTTTGAAGAAACATCATTTTGATTTAGACAGATCCCTTTTATTTATCATGTCATTGGGTTTTATTTTTAAGCACTTTCTGAAGATACCTGTCTTTTAATAAGAGAGTTTAAACCATGTGTTGTGATAATGTGGTTGGTGTTCTGACACCTTATTTTTTGCTTCCCATTCTTTCCTTTATGGGCTGTGTTTCACATACATCCTCTCTCCACAGAGACTTCTTGGAAATTTGTTTTCAGAAAACATCATTCAAATATGTCTAATACAAAATTCAAAAATAAAATGATGTCCTTTGAGACCTCTATATGAAATTTCTATTCAGCTGTTATGATTTGGTCAATATGACATAGGATTTTAGACTTGAATTGTTATTATTAACATATACTACATTATATACCATCTCTTTTAACTGATATTTTTGTGTTTTCAGTGAATTCTGAAACCACACTTTCAACAGTTATTTATATTTAGCTATATGTTTAAAACTAGTTTCAATACTTACTAAAAATCTTGTATTTTTAATTTCTGTTTGTCTTTAGAGTATAGTATACATGCATGTTGCACAGAACACCCACTCCCCCCTCCCCACCCCCCCCAAAAAAAAAACAGAATAAAGGAAACAAAAAAGTTGGACTCATCCATGATGGGGTATTTTGTTGTTGTTGTTTTTCAGTTTCACATCTATATCCATCTGCAAACCTCAGAGTCTTAAACTGCAGAATTTGATGTCTTTTTCTCATCTCCATTATCATTTAGCTTATCATCGTTCATCACGGTCATTGCAATAATCTATCTATATGATTCCTATCTGGTCTCCTTCCAGGTTAAAATGTTAAGTCAAACCATACCTCTCCTCTGCTCAGTTTAACTCCCTCCCCTTCAGTTTAAGCCAAAACCCAAGCATACTTCCTACCCCCTGGGGAACTTGCTCTCTGCCCCCCACCAATCTCCCCACTTCCTCTTTGCCCATAATTCCAGCCACACTGGTCCTCTTACTGCTCCTTACAAGAAGCTAAGCTTGCTCTCACCTGTGGTGGCCACCTCTCTATTGTATAATCTCATCCCTCTGACAATGGTCTCCTCACCTCTCTCTGATTTCCTCCAAAATATCTCCTTATTGAAAAAGCTTTCCTAGATCAGTCAACATAAAATTATACTCCAGCTCTTTCCTATACCAACAAGTAAATGGTTTATACTTTCTCTTGAGCGTAGTAGAACATAAAATGATAGAAACCCAAAAGAAAGAGAAACTGCCTTAGCTAAAAAAATATATATGCAAAATTAGAAACAAATAATTGCGTAGTAATTATAGACACTTACCCTTAAGGAATCTGATTATTTGGAGGCCCCTGTAAGGAAAGGTTCAGGCTTCTGAATTATGGAGACAAGAGCACACTGAACAAACAAATACCACATTAGGAACTTCTAAGACTCAGACCAAATGGAGACAAGTAGAGTGAGTGGACATTGTGTGTAAGTCTGTGTTCTTATGGGACTTGCCGTGTTCATGAGTTAGTATATTTTATTCTAACGTTGCTCTTAAGAGAAAATATAAAGCTTCATTAGCTGGGAAGACTTGATGAACCAAAGCATCTTCCATATTTTCTTGGTCCCATTTCTGCCCATGCCATATGAACTCATTCATGTCACAGAAGTCTGTGTATGGCAAACAGGCCACACTTCTATACTGAGGTAGCTTTGGTCAATTTCCTTGTCAGGTCTAGCACCACCAACCCATACATTCATAATTTTTTAAATTTCTTTTGGAAAACCAAAGAGATTAGCAAATTGTGTTGTGTATTCTTCTTCAGTCATATTAAGATCTATAGCCCTCTTCTAGAAGACAAATTAAACAAACAGCAAAAGTTGGAAATGATTTTTTGCCAATGTTTAAGTGAAAGCTCTAATCCAAATGTTGTGCTTGCATGGTGGTTATTGAAATGCTAGAGAAAGAAAGTGTCTGTTGAATGCTCTGAAAATTAAGTGTTTGGCTTAGTATTCAGCATCATGCCAGTTCATTATTTATATCTGCAACATGAGTGAGCACAAAATTTCCTCCTCTTAACCATGTGCTGGTCAAGCTCAGAGAGCTAGATGCATGTTTTATTTTTATTTATTTTGATTTTTTTAATGTTTTATTTATTTCTAGGAGAGAGAGAGAGAGAGACAGCGTGAGCAGGGGAGGGTCAGAGAGAGCGGGAGTCACAGACTGAAACAGGCTCCAGGCTCTGAGCTGGCAGTCAGCACAGAGCCCGACGTGGGGCCCGAACCCACGAACCGCGAGATCATGACCTAAGCAAAAGTTGGCCGCTTAACCGACTAAGCCACCCAGGCGCCCCATAGATGCATGTTTTAAACTAAACTCTCTTTGCTGCCCAAATGGAGTATCTTAAACTGCTCCGTATATTGATAAAAAGAAAATCTTACCAACAGAAGGCTGAAAAAAAAATAATGTAGCAACTTAGAAAGTTGTTTGGCATTACCTTGGACTGAGAATAAAGAGAATGCTGCAGTCTTTTGGCTGTTTTTATCTTCGTGTCCTGAGCTTCAGCCTCCTGCTTATCACATCCAATCAATGTAAGTCTTTTTTGTTTGTTTGTTTTTATAGAGAGAGAGCAAAAGAACAGAGGAGAAGGGCAGGGGAGGGAGAGGGAGAGAGAGAGAGAGAGAGAAATCTTAAGCAGACTTCATGCTCAGTGAGGAGCCCAACGTGGGGCTCAATCCCACAACCTTGAGATTGACTTGAGCCCAAATCAAGAGTTGGACACTCAACCTACTCCACCACTCGGGCACCCCTAATGCAAGCTTTAAAAACAAAAACAAAAATAAAAAAAAACCCACCTCACCGGTGAATTAGGCAAGATCTACACATGACTTCTTTATATTATAGATTATTATTTTAGGTATATTTATCATATTTTTCAAATAGCTATATAGGAATTGAGGGTAAGGGCATTCCTCATGTGTGTGCAATCCTCGAAGTCACTTACTCTGGGGATTTGTGCCCCAGCAATCAAGGCAGGTAAATCATGATGGTAGTTGGTGCAAAGAGCATGTGAGGCCAATGAATTGCATGGCCAAATTCTATGTTTAATTGAGTTCTATGGGACCAGGGCTGGTTTCCAGGGTAAGAAGACTTGACTTTCACCTTTCAGTTCAATGGCCAGTAGATAGGAAAAAGCTAGACCAGAGAAACGTGACTCTCCCTTCCCCTGCCCTACTCTCGGACCTATACACCGGGCTCCTGAGAATCTTATATTCGGTTTGCTCAGGGGAAGAAAGAGCAGAGTAAATCTGAGGGCAAATGAGAAATTGTCATCTGAATCTGAAATTAGCATGTTATATAGAACTATTCGAGGAAACTAAGGAAGGTGAAAAAAAAGGATGAAAATGCGATCTTGGAATTGTCTGTGGTTAACCACATAATCCAAGTCTGGTAGTAAATAAGCCATTTCCTGAGAGAAATGTAGTTACTTTGGAAGCAGTTTCAACTCTTAAAGTCACTGATGTGCCATTTAGTATTTAAACGTCAGTGATTTACAAAAGGCCACCCAGAGTGGCCTGCATGTTCCAAGGTGTCTCCAGAACACCTCATGCATTCCTGAAGAGCAAGTGGAACATTTGGAGGGCTTGGCTCACCACGCGTGTCTAGCCCAAATGTAATTTCTGAAGCAACATTTTCTACTCAGTAGCTTGCTTTTACAGATTTTACTCACGTGGTATAATCGGAGAGATACAAATTCAAAATGCATTTAGAACCCCACCTTGTCTCATTTATGTTACATACCGGAGGCTGGGAAACTGCCCAGAGAACAAATTTGGCCCAGTTTTTGTAAATAAAGTTTTATTAGCGCACCACCATGCCGATTCTCTTATGTATGGTTTATGGCTGCCTTCCTACTACAACAGCACAGGTAAGTAGTTGTGACAGACATAATCTCGCTCCTCACAGAAAACATTTGCTAACCATCTGTGTATGTTCTTGCATTAGTAACAAAACCTATCAACCACTGAAGCTATGGTAGGTTTTTTTTTTTTTTTGTAGCAATCACATACACTGAGGGGATATCAGGTACACTTCATCAGGATGAAATCTTATTTCTACAGAACTTATTTTGTGTCTCTGATTTCCTTACCAGGAGCTAATCCTCATTAAAAAAAAAAAAAGACACACACATTCAAAAAGTGTTCTTTTATTATTTCTAGTAACATATATCGTATAAATACTCTATTTTTATATGCCCTTTTACAAAAGCGATATAACTTAAAAGTCTTATCATTAGAAAGAAATGTATAAAAATAAATATGTTATTATAGGCATTTATCACAAACTATAGTCCTTCTTAGAAGGAACACACAAATACTTATAAAGTACATAGAATTTATAGTAACATATTTTACTATATACATATGGGGAAAAAAAAGTCCTATTCTCTTTCATAGTAGAAGAGCTGAACAGACATTCACCAGGATATGACTGTTGGGCCAGCTGCTGGGGATGGACCCGCTACCCCTCAGTAGCCTCCCTACTGTGAGACAAGTTGGTCTCCATGTTCCCAAACACTGGGGATCCCATTCTACACACCCCATTCTTACACTGGCATTACATCCTTTCGTGTGTGATCACCCGGTCCTTCTTGAGACATGAACTGTTTTTTTTTTTGTTTGTTTGTTTTTTGTTTTTTTTTTTTTAACAGCCACATTCCGAAAGCAGGCTTACATAAGGAGGAAAGAAAGGAGGAGGTCTGAGCTCATCTTGTCTCCTCTGGCTTTTACTAGCATCTGATTCATTGCTGCCTTTTTTTTTTTTTTTTTTAATTCATAGACTTAATGCATTTTTACAAACGCGTGTAATTGTTTGTCAAAACGACATCATGAATAGAGACGCAATGATGGCACAGGAGAGTAAAGATGGTGTTCATTTGAGTCGCTTGATGTTGCTAAGCTTTTCTCTCATGGTGGACAACCTTGCATTCTTAACTCTCAGTAGGAAAGATGGCGGAAACGTTCTCAGAAACGGTAGCAGCCAAAATCAATCAGTGCTGGTTGAAGATGCTATTGTAACTCCTTTCTCCCTCCATTGTTTGTGAGGTAAAGTAAGCCCTGTCTGTGACTAAAAATCTCCTCTCTCCCGCTTTTCATTTCCCAACCCCCATGACACAAAGTATTGAATCAGTACCACAGAACAGGGATTGTATAATCCTTAAACTAATTTTGATGACTGTTTCTATTTGTTTTTTTAAACTTGTCATAGTTGTAACAAAAGGAATAATAATAATGCCCTGGGGCTTTATCATGCTATATCACTGCTCAGAGATTAATAACCCTCATTAACTACCCTATCAGATTCGTAACTGGCAGGATATTCTGCCGATCTAACTCCTTTTCTACCTACCTCTACACTCCCGACTCATTGACACAGGCAAGGTACACCAGATCCCTCCAGCCTTCTTGATGTCAGTGCATCAGCCCTTCCACACACCTCCTCCCCTCAAGCTTTCCCTGCCTAACTGCATTCTGCCATCGTACAAAAGTCTATGTAATGCTTAGGTTTCTTTAAAGGATCACAGAACTCAGGAGACAATACCCCCCCGTCATGGGACAGACACTGCAAGGTTCTCTTTTTGTAACCCTTCCCGCAAGTCTTGGAACATAGCGACCAATCCCCTAGCTGCCAGCTGGGGCAAGGCACGTCTGCGCACGGTCTGGTGCTGGCTGGCTTCACCTCCTTGGCACACTCCGAGGCGGGCTGCCCATTAATATCTCGGCACTCCACCCATCTCCGCTGCCAACCCAGTCCACATGACTTGGAACACTCGCTCCACTCTTCGATGACCCATTCTGAGAAGGTAGGGATGGCATTGAAAGGCTCCTTCTTCTTCTTCACAAAGTAGGTGTATTTAATCTTCGGGCGAAGGGCATTGCCCACTGTGAGGACCTGGATGGTTATGGGCTCTTTGAGAGGGCTGAAGCTGCGGATTCTTTCCAACGCGGCTGAGGAACCGCTGTACCTCAAGACCGTACCTTTGTAGGTAATGTCTTGCTCTAAAGTGGACAGAGTGAAGTCGCCGTTCAGGATGTACGTGCCATCGGCAGCTTTGATGGCAAGATAGCTGCCGTTATTTCTGGACCCCCTGTGATTCCGTTGTTTCACCTCAATGTTTGTGGCCCCAGCAGGAATCGTGACGATGTCATGATATCCAGGTCTGCCGGCAAGAAAGAAACAGACATGAAAATCTCTCAGTCACTGGCTACTTAGAATACTCAGCTTGAAAACATGCTCATCGTTCGGAAGGTAGGTTCTCCCAGACCTTACAGTTACCTCTAAAGAACAAGATCTTTGGGGGTGGGACGTTCTAAAACTCACTTTGCACTAGTAACTGATCCTGACGTTTTCTTGCACGTAGATCCATTTCCTCCACAGATACCACATTTATCAAACTTCTTTTTGGAGTCTATAATACGATCACAGCCAGCTTTGACACACTGTCCTTGCACGCAGACAGAAGTGGAATCGGGGCTACATGGGGTGCCGTCAACCACCTGAAGAAGGAAGAACATGTATCTGGTGTCACACATTAGTCAACTTGGGAAAGACACAAGGCTCTGATGAGTAGGAAAGTTTTTCTCCTTAACACAATGTCTGCTTTCCTGACCATCGTAGTTACAATAGCACTCTACACATGTCACACACTACCCTTCTTGGTGGCTTTTTCCCTACAGTAGATATAGGTGACCCAGTATACTAAACATTTTGATGCTTTGTTTATTGACCTATCTCAGATTTAAGGTCAAGGAAAGTAGAGCTTGTCAATTTGTATACTGCCGTACACTCAGTGCCTAGCATAATTCCGGCCAATCGCAGATGCTGAGTAAGTCAGTTGCTGGATGTTGAATCTCCAACTCGGGGATATTTTCATAGCCTCCAGTGATAATGGCATGTGATAATCGTTTTTTTCAATCTCAGGACCAGTTTGAGCCTCTCAGCAAAACAGCAAAATGATGCTTCTACTAGATCAATAGATGTTCTCCAACACAAGTGTTATCAATGTCAGACTTCCTTTTAATAAGTCCATTCGCATACGTTACTGCTAATCACCAGTAACAAGCACTTTGGTCCATGCCTATGCTATTTTCCAGAACCACTGATTGGCTGCCATGCTAATCTATTTATCTGACCAAAAAGAGCTTTTCTCTGCCTATCAGAGTAATAAGAAGCAATGATAAGAATCCTAAGTGCCAGATTCAAGCTTCATTCATAACTGAAAACAACAACGCTGCACTCAAAAGAAGGCGGTTGGTCACCAACGTGTCTAGAATAAAAGGAGATCGGATTTAAAATCGAACACGTTGATATATGAATCAATAAAACCACATCCCGGACTGCATGAGAAGGTTGCAGTTCAGGCCCTCGCTTCTTAGGCAAAAAGCATGAATAAAAGCAACTACCTTGGGCTGCAAAACGAAGAAGAAGCCGATGCCTTTGGCTTGACAGATGAGCTTGCATCTGTCTTTGGGCGAGACTCCAGCGTACTTGGGCGTCCACTCCACCGCGGGCCCGCTCCCTAAAGAAACCTTGGAAAACTCGTTGTGTGCCTCACACTGTTCCTCTCGGAAGGTTTTTCCTAGAAAGAAAATGACATAATGACGTCATCAGTTTTCAACCCTCACCTGCTTGCTTGTGGGCACATCGCTTGCGTCCCCTTTCTACTCACCGTTGTTGTCTGGGCAGTCTTCGATGTTACATGACCTGTAGCGCATGCGCTTGCCTTCACAGTACTTCCCTCCGTTTTTGGGGACCGGGTTGTCACATTCCCTCACTGTGTACTGAACTCCGCCGCCACAGGTTCTCGAACAGTCTCCCCAGGGTCCCCACGGCCCCCAGCTTCCGTGAATAGGGGTCTACAGGGGGACACAGATGATCAGCATTAGAACTTTTTACAGAAATCTTGTTAGAGAACAAACGAGAAAAGTAAGACACAAAGAATCAGCTGTACACATAATCTATCTTGTGTCCCCCACCGAAGGACAGACAGGGGTGTTTATCGTGGTGTCAGACGTTTGGGCATCTGTCCGTTCCTTCCAGTCCCGAATTCCGAAGGAGTACGCGTGTGTTGTGACAGAAAAACTCACATGCGAATGCATCTCGTCCGTCTTGTTCACACACTTGCCGTCCAGACACCATTTCCCTTCTCCGCAGCTGGTGCCGTCTGCCCAAGGGAAGTGCTTGGTCTGGCACACCAGCAAGCCCCCAGACATGCCCGTGCACCACAGGGTCGCGCACGTGCTGTCTGCGTCTGCGCAGTGTTTGGACTCTTCCCCGAAGGTAAACTGGCACTGCCGGTCGGCATCATACAGGGTCCCCGGGAGATCGGAGGGGAGCTGGAGGGGGCTCTGGGGCTTGTCCAGCAAACATTCCCCTGCAACGGAAATGCCAACCAACATTAAAGAACAGTAAATGAAAACATACGGAAGGCAGATCCGTTTCAGAAAATAGTTACCCTAAGAGGGCAGATATAGCAGAGTGACTTGAAAACTAGAGCTTCTGGGGAAAATGCCAGAGGGATTTAACTAATTTCTAAGATATTGTCCTCCACGGGGTATTTCTGCAGTAACAGGGACAGGAAATGACTGTTCTGCTAAAAAACTCAAATTAATGCACTTTTAGGAGCTACTCAGCCAGAAGAACTATTGTTTATTGGGAATTAAGATCTGAAAACGTAGGCTTTTGGGCTGCCTGGGTGGCTCATCTGGTTAAGCATCTGACTTGGCTCAGGTCAGGATCTCACAGTTCGTGAGTTCGAGCCCTACATTGGGCTTCATGCTGAGAGCTCAGAGCCTGGAGCCTGCTTCAGATTCTGTGTCTCCCTCTTCTCCCTCTGCACCCCTCATGCTCTCTCTCTCTCTCTCAAAAATAAGTAAAAGTTACAAAAAAAAATGTATGCTCTTGACAATGTAAGTGATTTAGAAGGAGAACTAAAAAGAACAAAAAAGAAAGAACTGGTTGAACTAGATGTGGAAGGCTGGATAACATCTAGAAAGAGCAGCTGAAGCATCTTACCATGACCATTATCCAGGAATGACGTAATCATATAGGCACTGCAGTGAGACCAAGGCTGGTTGTAGTTCAACTTGGGAAGCACTGACGCCATCATGTGGGAATTGTGGTCGACACCGTTAAGGCTGGCACATTGCTTTGTATCGTCGTGTGGCATGTTAAACACGTGGCCTAAGAAGCAATGCAAAACCCCCATCAAAATACAGGTCGTTTGAATCCCTCCCCCCCAATCAGGGATTCACTTGTCTCAAAGTGATTAATTCTAGAAGAAGAAATGTACTTTCGAAACAATCTAGTTTGGACCTGATGTGTCTATTTCTTATAAGGTGCACACAATTACGTCAATTCCCAAATGTCCAGATTTCGTACTATCTTATTTTGAAATCTATTAAGGCTAGCCATGTTCACCATGGTACGGAAAATATTTCCTGCAGTCTCTAGAAAATTTTGGCACCTAAAAGGGCAATATAATCTGTTGACTCTCCCTCTTAAATTAGCCTATGTTTGATCAGCTTGAATTCATGAAGGGGACTGAAATTCACGTCCACCCTGAAATGGACTTACCTAGTTCATGAGCCGTGGTGAAGGCAGCTTGCAAGCCATCATCTTCTATGACCGAGCAGCTTCTGGTGGGATCACATATAGTTCCAACATCAGCCATCCCAAGGGTGTCACAAGTCTTGGCCCCGCACAGGTCCTAAAAAGAAGCAAACGTAGGTCCTTATTCATAGGGACAAGAGAGCATGATCCTTGGGACCTCACTTTTTGGCAACAGGTATCTTCACATTTGTATTGAGGCATTTCCCTTCACTGTCACTGAGTTGTTCAAATCTGGGGACTGCTTTAGGGGACTTTTATTAAGATTTTCTCTAATGCTGTTCAAACAGGACCGTGGGGCTTGAGCTATTAAGATTATGGAAGCTGTAGGTAAAACTGACCATGTCAGCCAATTAAAAATAGGTTAAGTCAACAACGTTGGCCTCCCCGGAGGACCCTCATGACCCGCAGGGTCTTCCTCTCACCTGTCTGGTGAAAAGAATGGCGGTGTCATAGTGCTCCCCGTGTCGGTCACTGGGCTGATTGTGCTGCTTCTGCCAGTTACAGAAGTTTCGCAGAGTGAGGGCAGCATTGGACGTCACTTCGGGCCCCTTCTGCTCCTCATAGATGACCAGGATCTTCACGACCACCAGGTTCACAGAGTTGCGGATGCTGGGGTGTTTGTACAGCCGGGCCGCCAACGAGAACAAGGTGAGAAGGTAGTGCTTGAGCCCACTGCCGTGGAACTCGGCCATGGACTGGTCGGCCACCAGCATGGTCTCCACGTAGCGGTGGCTGGACACAAATCGCTTCTTTCTTACACTCCCGGTGCCTGTGAAGAAACAAAGAGATAGGTTTGCTCACAGGCATTCAGGCCAAGAAGAGCTACCTTCCCAGAGTATATACGGAAAGCCTAAGCAGTCAAAGCAAACATAATAAAAATACACCTGGGACAATAACAAAAATATTTGCAGCTCTTCTCACTGCAGATGTTATATTTAAAGCTTTCTCCTTTATTTATTTTCTCTCTTTTTTTTCTGTCTTCTAAATAAAAAGGCCCGTGTGAGCCATCGAAGGTTCAGGCTTTTTTTGCCGGGGGGGGGGGGGGGGGGGGGGGGGCAGTGAGCAGGATTTCTTTTGTCCTTGAAATGCTACCCTGTGCGCAAGGCCGCGTGCACATCGTCCTAGGCGGCTGTAGTAAAAACTTGGAGCGAAGGCATCAGGCAGGGCCCCTGAGTCACTCTTTCACAGGCCGGGACCCAAATCCTGAATGGGAGCGTCGGACTCCACGTGGAAGGCCCGGGAACTCGGCCAAGGGGCCGGGCCCAACTGCGCGGCTCCGCTGTCTCATTCCAGGGGCCCCGGGGGCGCTCTGCTCTGGCCAACCCGGGCACGACAACCACCCACTCTGCCCAGCAGCCTGTCGCCCCATTCCCACTGCCCCGGGGAGGGGGGGGGCGCCTGATCGTTTAGAAAAGAGCCTTCTGACTCCTGACGGAACACCAGACCCCAGGGAAGTCCTCGACGGGACGCTGACCACGTAACTGCTTCAAAGGGCAGATGTCCAGGGGGGAAAGAACATTCGAAAACAAGTCACGTGGGAGAGTTCAGGAAGAAAAAAGGCACCGTGACAGAATGAGGAGACAGCAGCACCACACACAACTGAAGGGTCAGGGTGAAGCGTAGCAGGAAGGATCAGCAGTGACTAACACGCAAAAGTGCAAGAGAGCAGAATTTTGGCCGCGAGAGGGAGCGCAAACTGGGAGGCCGGGTGGGAGGCGCGGGGAGGCGGGGCCCGCTGGGCAAAGACCTCCCAAGCAGGTTTTGCAGAGGAGCCGGGCCGTCTCCGGCCGGTCGGGGGTCAGCCTCGGGGGGGGGGGGGGGGGGAGGGGGGCAGGCAGAGGCCAGCGGGACGGAGCGCCCAGCGCAGCGGCCCAGGCGTGCGGGTTGCGCACTGCTAGATCACCGTCGCTCCTCCGCCCTCCTGCGCGCGCAGGGCGCGCGCACAGGCAGCGGTTACAAAACTCAAAGCCGAGTTGCCATCCGACCAAAGAACACACGCACGGTCGTTACACATAAAATAACAGGATGGAAATAAGTCCCCCCCCCCCCCCACGGACACTTGACTAACGTGGAAGGAGTTGGGTTATCAACCCTTCCCTTCCCGGTCGAAACGCTTCGCCTTAGTCAGGAGAAACTCGCTGATTTGCCCGCCCTCTCTGGACCATTCAAGGTTCGGGCCGACAGGCTTCTGTTCTAGAAGGGTTCGATTAGGTCACCAACCCAAACCTCCAGCCGCATTCCTGCACACCAGGCCTCCGTCCAGTCCGCAGGCCCGCGTTCCCTGCCTGCGAGCCGGAGTTTCCTCTCCGCGCGCGCCGCTCAGAGACAGTGGGGAGACCGGGATGAATGGAGAGGCCAGAGAGAGCACCTCTTCTGGGACCGGTACCTGTCGGCTGTGACTCCCGCTGCGGCGCGGGGTCCCGCGGCGGCCACTGCGTCCCGGCGTCCTGGTGCTCGGGCCGCGCGCCCCCGGCTAGCTGCGTCTCGTCGTCCGTGACCCCGCACTTGGCGCCGGCGCCGCCCCGCTGCCTCCGCCGCAGGAGATGGAACCGGGGCCGCTCCGGCGGCTCCTCCCCAGCGGCGGCGGCGGCGGCGGGCGCGGGCTGGATGAAGTACTCCTCGCCCTGCAGGTAGAAGGCACCGCTCACGCCGTCGCAGAGGCTGAGCGCGGCGGCCGAGCCGGAGTCGCCGTTCACGGTGCCCGAGTAGAAGCAGTGCGTCAGGTCGCCGGCGGGCTCCAGACGCGGCGCGTCGGGCCCGGGCCTGCGCCCCACGGTCTGCAGCGTGAAGCCGGGCGCCAGGAAGCCGCGGTCGGGCTGCAGCTCCAGGTGCAGCTGCCGGCCGAAGGCGTCCAGGCGGAGGTGCGTGGTCGCGTGTCCCGGCGCGCGCTCCAGGGCCGGCAGCACCAGCTCCTCGTCGTCCTCGGCGGGGCGCCCGCGCGCGCCCGGCACGAGCAGCAGCAGCAGCAGCAGCGGCAGCGCCGAGGCGGCTGCGAGCAGTAGCAGCGCGGGCGTGGGCCGGGAGCCCCGAGGCCGCCGCGCCGGCTTCGCGTTCCCCATGTCGCCGCCTCCCGTGCGCCTTCGGAACCCCGCGAGGACCGCTCGCTGCACCCGAGTCGCGGGAGGCGCCGCGCGCCCCGGTGGACAGAGAGAGGGGGCTATTGTTCGGGTCGGGAGCGTGGAGCCTTGCGGGCTTCGCTCTGGGTTGTTACAGTTACTATTATTCTTTGAAAAGTGAGCGCAGGGCCGGCGGCGGACGGGACTCCCGGGTCGCCGGGGAGGAGGCGCTGCAGTTCTGCGGGCGCGCGGGAAGTTTTTCTTCTAGCGCAGAGTTGGAGGCACCGCGCAGCAGCGGCTCGCGGGGAGGCTGCTGCAGGGACCAGAAGTTCCCTGGGAAGCCTCCGGGGCAGGGGGCAACGGGCCACGCGAGGATCGGTGCCTGGAGCCCCTCTTCGGTCTCCGCCTTGGCCGCGGGGCTGTTGGCTCTGCGCACGACTCGGTCCTCTCGGCCCTACTATGCGCCCTGCCTTTGCAGTGGCCCCTGACTTGGAGCCGCTCTCCAGCGAGTGCAAGAACCAGGCAACCCGGGTTGCCCTTTTATAGTCTCCACCTCCTCTCCCTCCCTCCCGTCTTCCCTCTTGGCCGCCTTTCCATCCCGAAGACACCGCCCCCTAAACTCTGTCGGTGCTAAACCGCGCTCAGCGCCGCGGGCCGGGGCGGGGGAGGGGCGGCCTCCGCGCTGGCCGGGCGCCACGAGCTCGTCAATCTGGGGGCGGAAGACGCAGGAGGGGCGCTGCGGCCAACACTTTGTGCGTCTGGGGCTGCTGCGGGCAGAAGGTGCTCGCTTCCATCGCGCCTTCCCCCTCGCCGGCTTCCCGGACCACCCTCCCTTCTCGCTGCCCTTGTGCGGGAGCGCAGTTCGCGCGCTGGGCTGCAGTTCCCAGAAGGGACGGTGGGGGTGGAGCGCAGAGACCCGTCTCCAAGATTTCCCTGCCCGGGGGCTGTCACTGTGCCGCCTCCCTTTGCCACCCCCGCCCGCAGCCCATTACTCCCCAGTTTGTACGAGGAGCCAGGACTGCCCTTTCTAGAAAAATACCCCGCCCCACCTCCATCTCCCTGGCCCTCCAGGGCGGGTTATGCAGCTGGTTCTCTCTTCGCCCCAACATTTTTCGGGTAAGCTTGTTTGGGTCAGTGCCTCCCTGGAAAGCATGCCTGGGGTCAGGGGGGGGACACTCCCCAAGCTCTAGATTTTACAATGCGTTCTCATTGACCTTTCTCCTCCTCCCTCGCCTCCCAGCCCCCACCGTAGTGCCTCCTCTTTGGGGACCTGGCTCACACTTCCGGAATAGGTGATCTGGAACGCGTTTCAACTCCCTGGGGCTTTGGGGAGAGACTTGCGCTTTCTCTTCTTCATTCCACACATAATCAACTCCCGCCCAGTCTGCCTTCTTTTACCTAATAGCTGCTGCAGAACGTAGGACACGCTGGCAGAAACGTCAAGGAACCCCACTTTTCTACCCAGTAACCAGCGGGGCCGCTGGGGCTAGAAAGCTAGAAAGTGTGCTGTGGGGAAATTAGGAAGCTGGCTTTCTTCCCTGACCCCTCCCTCCTCTTCCCACCAGGAAGGGAAAAGGCTGCATTCGGGTTCTGAAAGTGAGCAGCGCTCAGCCTTGCCTCCTCCTTAGGACCCTAAGGAAAAGCTAAGCCTCTCTTCCATCGATAAAGAGGGAGGGAGGGGCTCAGTGACACAGAGGAAGGAAATGTCTCATAATGCTAACACCGGCGGAAAACCGGGCGACAATGGTGAGAACGGCCGCCTCAGCCCCGGGGCAGACCTCTGTCCACACCGCGCGCGCTCCCACTTCTTTGCCCGGGGTTCTGTCTCGCCGCCCCTGCCCCTCGGGTTTCACCAAGTTTGGTGTGTGCTCCGACCCCACTCTTCCCCAGACCTTCCCAATTTCATTCTGCCCCAGCCAGAAGCGCCCCCCCCAACCCCCCAGTCCTCCAACACACCCCTCTTCCAAACTTTTGCTTTCAGAATTCTTTCCAACTTCCTCTCCTCTCCGAGTTCTAGATTGCCTGCCGGAAAAAAAAACAAACAGACACAAAACCCCCGCGTGCCACTCTTTAGGAAAGATCACATGAGAAAGAATGGCACCCAGAAGCAGAAACGCTTCACTCTTACAGGGTAATAACAAGCCCTGCCCCCACACCCTTAGGGGTGTTTGCACTCTGGAATGTAATGTTCCTTTCCTAAGGTCAGTGTCATAGTTACCTGCTGCATGGTCAACTGGAGAATTGCTTATGTTTTATTAGCAGCTTAAAGTATGTCAATGACCAATTTCCACCCTCACTCTATTCCATTTCTCCTTCAAAGTTAACATAGACCTACACTCATGAGTGGCCTTATTCATTTCTCGGTTGTGTAGCCTAACTTTCTGTTCATCTTGGAACTAAGCAATTCACCTCACTGTTTCCTAGTGTCATTTCTCATTTAACATCCCTACTCCTTGGTTTGGTTTCTAGACTTTCTTCTCCTTCCCCTTCTCTTTCTTCTTCTCCTACATTCCCGTCCTCTGTTACAGTAGTTTTTAAATGTGTCATCTTTTAATGATTTCAAATCATTTGTTCTTTCATCCTAGCTAGAAGAAAGGTAACATATTTGAGACAACATTTGAGGGAAAGTCATTTTACACTTGCAAGATATTGACTATGGAATCAAGAAGCCATGATGGCAAAGCCATCAATAAATTTTCAAACCCTTTGTGTAGAGGAGGGTTCTGGAAACAATATATGGTGACCAGAAGGTGGGACCTCAAACTGGTTTTGGGATGAAGATTTCAGATACTTGAGGTGGCCCAGGGCTGAAAGTCTTACCAGATCCTTAAGATTCAATGATGATATGGGAAATGTGTCATTTTCTAAAAAGAAATCATGTAATGCATTCCCAACTTTTAATTCCCCTACATAAAATTTAGCTTTTAAAATATATTTGTGCAAGTTTGGCCTTTGGTTTCTTTTTGCCTCCGGTGGGGTTTCTCTTTGGAAGGCTGTTTAATTCAAGGCATACATTTCTAATCTTGAATGGTTTACTTCAAATCCATTACAATTTTTGCAGATTTCATGTTGTATATACAAATAGAGCTGAAAAAACAGAGAGCTAGCGGCAAAAGAATGGCCAGGAACATGGCTTTTTTTTTTTTTTTTTATTCACTGGGTTTCTCTCCAGATTTCTGTTCTTTTGCATAATGACTCCAATCTGTTGTGCACCTGTAGTTCTGGGAAATGATTCTTTTTTAATCGCTTCAACAGAGGCATGGACATAGACGTTGCCAATTACTAAGCTTGAAAAACTCCATCCATGCTCCGGAGAACATTTAATCTACTTACTTTTTTGTTTTTAGAGACCAGAACTCTGTTCAGGCCTTCTTGTTGTTATACAAACATGTACATATAACATATAAGCGTATTTATAAACAAAACTGTGAATTGAAAAAAATACTTTACTATAGAAACAAGACCAAAGGAATCAGATTTGTACATGGCACTAGTGAAAGTGACATGTGATATTGGATCCTTGTACGTAAGCTTTGCACCGCCACTCATAAAATGTTTGCTCCTTGATTTGAACATGCACCCAACGCTCACATACCAGATTCACCTTTACTGTATTTCTGGTTTTGTTCTTTTAGGGTACACATGCGTTTATAGAAACATAAATATTGATATGTCCTAATTTATAGATCTTAACCAGTTTTTATTATTTGTAGAGATGACCCAATAAAAGTTAAGATATTTTACATACACATAAAAATATTTTTGCAATAAGTTTGACCTTTTAAAAGCATTCGTGTCCTCTAGTAACAGAGAGAAGAAAAAGTTTCATGCATTTTAAAGTAAGAGAAATACACAAGTATTAATTTTATGTCTACTTTACACATTTGCATGTATTTCACTTATTTGTGTACTCCAGACACAATACTCAATTCAGTTTTCAAGAAGTTTATACCAAATTACGTATTCAACAAGTAGCCATGAAATGAAGGAATCCGGTAAAATACATGAGCTGTTATCATTGTTTTAGTGGAAACGTTGTCTACGAAACAATTAATGTACATAGTTCATAAACATGTAATGCTATTCATATTTTCATACCACAGGATTTACCAAGTAGGAAAGGAAAGATGTTTACCCTTAGTGCTTTTGGGGGCACATATGGTCTAAGATAATATTGGACAAACGGATATTTTAGTTGATCATAAATGAGAAAATAGATAGAAAACATCTATTTTTAGCCCATTATATACAAAGAAATACAACTGTTGAAAACAGAAAAATTACTGTAACTTGCATTTGGGCTTAAAATAGCTATGACCTCAAAGCCATGCATTTGCAAGAACTGAAAAGAGTGTGCTCTGTCTAATCCACTCCCCTTGTTTGACAGATGTGGAACTTTGCCTCAGAGAGGTTAAGTGACTTGCCTTAAATTGTAGGCAACTGAGGACTTTGAAATAACTCTGGCTCATAATTTTTCATCAAATGCCTTCTGGAATTTTAACTAACTAGTTGCTTTGGTAGGTAAGTGTGCTGTCAGATCTGTGATTGCTGTTGTTTCCAATGATTAAATTTTAATCATTTGAAATAGGAATGTTCTGGCAATAAAACATTTCCACCTTAAAAGATCCCAGCCTTTAGTACTTCATTTTTTGTCCACCAGGTGGCGACGTTCTACAACAAATGATGTTCAGCTATTTTTCTTAATAGTTCAAGGCTGGAACTCGTAGCTTTTACATCTTTCCAATCTTATTTGATAAATTTTTGCCCAATTTTCTCTTACCTTTTGGTATCCTGGAAAATATCTTTTAAATATTGTAACTTTAATTTATATCCTTAAAATAATAATAAATGCTTTAGCCAATGACTTTTTAATCAATGTAGTTCCATCAGCTAAAACCAAAAACCAATTAACCTTTAGAAAACGAAAACTACTTCTGATAAGATAATACCGTAGATAACTTTCATTCATCACATTTGAGGGCTTTTTTTTCAATTCAAATGAAAAGAGCACGGACATTGCAATTTACCAAAACAAAAACTCATTCATTCATTAAGCAAATGTTAAGTGCCTAAGTCTGGTCACTGTGTGTTAGTACTCGACTATCAATACGAAAGTTTAATACTTGCTAAAGTTAAATGCTAAAGTTAACTTGTTTACCTGGTTTAGAGATTTTCTTTGGCAACAAAAAAGAACTTCAAGTGCAATAGTCAAAGAAAATAAGAAAATGTTCTACCACCAGGTGGTGATAAACGATAAAATTTAA